TCCTCTCCTCTCCTCTCCTCTCCTCTCCTCTCCTCCTCTCCCTTTTTGTTATCGCCCTCTAGGGTGGTTTTGACAACATCAACACACTACTTCAGGTAAATTCAAGTTAATGGGGTATGCATGAGAGGCTGGCTCATGAAGCTGGAGGCTGGTTCAAAAGTCACTCACCTTCCACTACCACATTTGCAGGTTTCGAATAGGCTGTGCCCAAACTGTTCTTGGCTACACAACGATACTGTCCTGCATCTTCTCTCTGAACATTGTGTATCCTTAAATTCCCAGAATCGAGGACAGCAATGCGAGCAGTCTCCTGCCGGAGGAAGGAGCCATTGAGGTGAGGACTCTACATGCAGGCTGCACACAAACAGCATCAAAAATCTGTTTACAAAATTTGGGCTTACATGCATGAGCACCATACATGTCCTATAACTCAAGGATTTGGGGCCAGCTCTTCCTGCTCATGACATGACACATTCACCCATTGCTATTTTTGCAGATGAGTGAATTATAGCTTGAAAGAGCTCCTATTTAAGAGAACACTCACAAGTGCTTTCCTCAGTATTTGTCCATATTTAGCAATGACAGGCATATATCACATAAAACATAGATACACAGACAACATTTCGTTCACATGTAGAATCACTGCAAATGAAGATATTTATGAGATGAGCCCTGGATTTTCCTAATGCTTCCTTTCTAGCTACTAGAATTTACAAATACTATAACTAATGCTAATATTTAACACAGTATCTTTAGCAAATATTTAGTATTACTGAAAACCATTCATACTCACCTTTACAACTGCTTCTCCTTTGACCCATGAAACAGAAGGTTTTGGATTCCCCATTGTAGTGCATGGAAGAACAGCCTTTAATCCTTCTATTATTTCCACATTTACAGGTGGACGAGTTATTTTGGGTCCTAAAATTTTTAAAGCCAAAAATTAAACTTGGGATGAAGCTACAAGATAATAGAACAAGACAAATTCAGGAATTACATGCACAAATCTGCTGCTTGTTCTGTGTATTGCTGGAAGATAAAGCATCCTTTCTTGGTTTTGAAGTTATTTGGTAAGAAAGAACTTTCTTCAGCACAGCATTCAGTTAAAAATTATGCAAACCCAGCCAAGTTGCATGGGTTATTTGTTTTCCTGAGTGGAGTTTGACAGTCATTTGAATTAGGGCCTGGGCTAAAATCCAAATTCAGATAAGAGTATTTCCAGTATTGAAGAATGTTAGCATTCCAGGTTCTGACATTTTTCACTGCGTAAACAGTCTTGTCTCAAAGCTCAGATCTGGATTGAATTGATTTTGAAAGAATTTTAACCCAGGCTTACCTCTAGCTCAACAAGAAGGGTGTGTAAATGCAATTAACATCCTTAACTGAAGGATTTATAACTATGAAAAGGAAAAGGAAAATCAAGCCTAAAAGAAAATGCAGTCAAACTGCCTAAAAGAAAATGCAATCAAACTCCCTTAAAGTTAATGAGGGATAAATTTAAATTCATTTTACTGAAAGAACACAGTCTACCTTAGTCTGAGCTGAGAGTATAAAGGATTATTATATTAATATTTTGGGAGATCTGACATTTTGAGGCCCTTGCATGATAAATGAACCAGCAGAAAAAACACTTTCAGAGAGCATCATCTCCTGGCCACCACCTGAAAGTGACTAGGATGATGCAGAGTTCCAGTATTACCAGACCTTGAGGGTCATCTCATTAGCACAGACAAATCCTTTCCTACAAACAGATGCTTTAGCCAGAATATACCTCCACTGCCTTTTAAAGTGCTTGTGTAAATAACTCTAGCCATGTGAGTCCAGCTTTACTGAGTTTGGCATGTATGTAGTTCTCTGTAAGAGCAAATCTTTTCCCCTCCATGTGGAATGATGAGATTTACAACATGGTGTTCCAGAACATTCAATACTGCTATTCAGAGCATCTGAATATAATTTAGTTGATTTTGCCATCCTCAGGAAGAAATCTGTATAGTGAAATTTTACAATTAAAATTCACCAGGGACTTAAGCAGTATTGCCACAGAGGACTAATCTATCAAACTCTTTTACAGATTTTTGCACAAAGGGCATTCTTCAAAGCATCCATTTTTCCCTTTGATCTTAGAACAAATATGTGTTATTCAAAGTAAATAATCACAACTGCATTAAGTTATGATCACATATGCCATGTCTCTGACAGAAAGAACTGCACCCACCTTCCCAAGAACCAAGAATGGGTTTGCCCTGAACATGGATCCCCAGGTGCCATAGATGGGAGTCTGCTCAGGCTTTTGATTAAACACTCACGTGGCATCAGGAAGACATTGCATTCCCACTTACGCATTTTCACCTGGAGAGCCCCACAGCTCTGTGCAGCTGCTCCAACTCCATTATCTGCTGTGCAGCAGTACACCCCATCATCGCTGTCCTCCACACTCAGGATGGTCAGCAGCTGCCCATTCCTCTGGATGCTGTACCGTGTGTCAAACAGCCTGCAGGGCACAGCACGGATTGTCAGGGACAGCCAGGGACAGAGAAAGGGAATTGCATTTGAATATGCAGACTGCTGATGTCACTACAAATGGCAATAATTCTACCTCTGATTGTCAACCCACAAACAGAAGGGAAGGTGCTGAAAATGTTGAGTTCTGAATTAAGATTCTAATTTTCACTAGACCAGGCAGCTCTGGACTGTTACTAGTGTAGTGGCAATTCTTCTGCCCCGCAGACATTGGCAAAACCAGTAGGCTCATGTTTGGGGTTTTAACTGGCCAAGGGCAGGCATGAGTACAAATAATCAGTTCCAGCCAGGTCCTGGTTTAGCTATCATTTTTCAATGTAAGAGAGAGATGCTTACACAGGAACTAGAGGTAGTGAAATTGTTTAAAGAAACCTTCTTCAGGAAAAACAAAACAAAACAAAGCATAGCAAAAAAAGTGGGATTTTTTTATTAAACAGATAAAGTTATGGAAATATTTTTAAGGTTGTGAAAAAAGACACAAACCAAAGACCATGAACTTTTGTGTCTACATCCTGGAGTAGTTTTGTCTATTTGTTTTGCAAAAAACCCACCAAACCAACAAACAAGCAAAGAAATGTACTGAAGCCATCTGGAAGCTAGAGGATTCAAGGATAGCTATGGTTTAATGACAGCAGGCTTTAACCCGGATATTTCAGAGAACTGCAGAAAGCCCTGAAGCTGGATCAACAAAAACATGGGATATTGTAACAAAGCATGTGGGTCAAAGACCAATTTCACATGTGAGCATGACAAGAGAAGTGTGGTATGTAAATAGGGGGGATATGTGGAGTCAAGTGGGAGAGCCAAGGAAATCAGAAAGAAAGATGATGAGAAATCAGAGAGCTGAGGTATTGATCTTCATTGCAAAGCTATGATAAATATAAAGAAATAGTTTAAATAAACACAAAGAAATTAACTATTTGTAGTGTCCATTTTCACATCTTTGTTGACGCTTTTAGGAAGCACCTTTGTGCAATTGGACTTAGATTTTAATGAACAGTGGAAAAAGGGTTGGGACCTGAGGATTTTATCCCAAGCAATGACAAGTATCTGACCACTACATATGTCAAGTTTTGTCTTTTACTGTTAAAAATTGTACAGTAGTCATTGACTAATCTGAATGTACCATTGTGATGGCTTAGGTATGTATTTCCTTTCAAAGCATTTCACCACTCAGTATTACATCTCCCTCCTCTTTTCCAGCTTGGGAAGAAAGAGTGCCGTGAAGTTATCCACAATGTAAAAGACATGCTGTCCCTGTCCCCTTCTTGTCCTAAGGAAGCCCTGTTCTGGACGATGGGCCAGGTAACCATTGCACTCAGCACAGGGCACCTGCTGGCTTACTTGCACAAGTTTTGATGTCAAATGGAAAGGCACATCCAGAAGACTAGTGCTGACTATTGTCTGTACTGGCTGTATTCTCATTGAAGTTCAAAGTTTACATACTGTTTTGTTTTGCAGATTAATCTTGCTGTCTGTCCAGGATCCTGGAATCTTGGCAGGAGAAGAGAATTTTGGAAACAAAATAACTGATATTAATTGCTTTCAATTACTAGACCCTTTGAAGTTTGATACACACACACACACACACACACACACACACACACACACATACACACACACACACAGAGAAATACATTTAGATAGGGTTTTTTTCAGAAAAAAGTGTCTTCTGATCTGATGCTTTTCCAGTGTGCAAATGCTTTCATCCAAGTTTTTAGAAAATAACAAATATATTCATATATATTTTCCTCTGTCTTTGGTCTGAGCTTTTGTATCCAGCAGTACTGAATATTAATGCCTTGTGAAATGAAACGCTGTTACTAATGCTGCTTCAGAAGTCGCTGTAAAGGAATGAAGCACCTGAGCTCTATGGCCTTACCATAAGAGATGATTTTATCTTTATTTTCCATTTTGGTCAAAGCACTGTGTCTCAGAGACAGAGTGGAATGGCTTTAAGAATTATGTTTGGCCTCTAGAAGAGGGGATTGAGGTGATACATTATTTCTGCATTTCAAATTACCTTAGAACACAGGGAAGAATGATAATCTTAAAGACATGGGAAGAGAAAGACATAGTCCTTCAAGGATGGCTTTCTCTCCCTGCTTTGATTTTCAGTCATGAATGTCAAAGATGGGGAAGGAATTAGGAGAAAGGTGACCTGATTTGGAAATAACATCCATGGAAGTTCAGAACTTCATGCTGGAACAAAGGCAGGATCAGAAGTTTAGGGCCAAAGTTTGCTGAGATGGCCAACAATGAAATAAAATTTCTGAAGGCCTATATTAATATTTGTAACTTTCTGCTTTGTCCTACTCTAAAGCAGTTTTCCAAGCAGTGAAACCTCCTTCTGCTGCGGACTTATTTGAGCCTCCTATGTCAGTGGTTCATCCTTTTTGGATGTTTAACCACAACAGTGAGAACCATACTTCAGGTGCATCTGAAGTACTACATCTACTCAATATGCACATCTCCTGTGGAGGCTGGGTATTGACTATGTTACGCAAAGTTGTGTTGTGCTGCATTTTCCCTCGCAGAGTAAGTCACTTACAGCCATTTAGAATGAGAAACCGATGTGAAGCCATGTGGCAGATGTAATGTGATTTCAGAGCTAGAAGATCAAGTACAGTTTACTTTGTAGAAACCTGTCTGCAGCAAAAGAGCAAAAACAATGGCAGCAACTTCCATTTCCACACTTCCAGAAAGCTGCCTTCTTTGTTGACATCTTGATGCCTGGTTGTTAACATCTGTCCATGCAAAACAATGAGAAGACAATTTCCAGATCCAGAACTAGAAGCAAAGAATGGCACAGCACAACCCCTCTCATGCAAAGATTCCAGGAACATTGAGACAGACAACAAATCCTGCTAAGCTCCTTTTAAATATTATACAGCATCCTCCTCCTTCATTAGTGGATGAACTGAGGAAGAAAGCACATTGAATTGTCTGAAGCTGGGGAGAAATGTTCTTGCAGCAGAAACCAACTCTCTGCAAACTCAAATGTGTGAAGGTGCAAGAGCAACCTCAAGTGCTCTTACCACTCCCTCAGAAATACAGAATCCTAGATAATTACAGCCACTCATTCTCTCTCCTGCCACAGACCAATTTTTGTATTTCCTGATATCTCCTGTATCATGAAAAGAAGCACTGTCAATTTTGGCAGAAGGTGCTGGTGAGGGCTGTGGCTGCTCCCTACCTGATGGGAATGCTGTTGCGTGTCCATGTAATCTCTGGCTCAGGATATGACTCCACTACACAGACAAACTTGGCAACATCTTCTACCAGGGCATCCACTGTTTCCAGAGGAGTGCTGATCAAAGGAGCTGTGTGAAGAAGAGAAAATGAGAACATCTTCTGGTGCCTACTGGAGAGTGTTACATAGCCTATCAAACACCTTTGGTGGAGGGCGCCATGTCCCTGCAGGGTCACTCAATGGCATTTTCCCTTGAGGTCTTTACATAAGATGCAAAACAGAGCTCCAAGCTCAGTGTGTCCTGTGTTTCTGACTCACAGCAACAGGTGAGCATACTGCAAGGACACAGGTGAGGATGTCCCACTGCAATAAGGGTGGCATTGCATAGGCTGGAAGTGCAAGGGGCAGCACAAAAATTGAAGCCAAGCTGACCTGCCCCTGGAGTGGGAAGAGTGCCTCCTTATTACTGCAGGAGATGTAGGCTTTTTTGTTAATATTATCAGATTTATTCACTCAACTATTTATCTTTAAAGAAAAAACAAAAAAAAAAAACCAAAAAAAAAACCAACTAAAAAAACAGCAACAAAAAAACCCTGTTATATACAAACACCAAACCCATTATACAGCACTATATTTTTCTAAGCCAGGCTCACAAAGACCATTCAGGTCATTCAGATTTGTGTCATGTCTAGGACTCATTCTCATTTTCTCACATTTTCTAACCAAGAAGCATGAGAGTTAGAAGTTTAATAGCTATGTCTAATGTTTATTATCATAAATCTGTAGTCATACATTAGTTGAATGTATCTTTATAAACATTTGCCATTGCTCCAGTCAAAGACTTGCAGCACAGCTGGAAGGGATCAAAGCATAAGCCTAGCCACTCACTTTCCCTGCTCATGTTATTCATTGCAGCCACTGCCTCCAAAAACACTTGAATATCTGGACCAATGGCTGAAAGAGACACACATCCATATTGGTTGGACTGGATTTCACTGACAACTGTGCTGAGATAAACTATTTTTTACTATATTCCTGAAACACTACCTTGAAAATACATCATGGATTCAGGAGTCTTCCTGTTCCTCACTGAGCATAGCAGCTTCTGGCCCATTATTTGTTCACAGAGATTCTCAACTGCTGTGTATCCACTGGCCCTCCATAGTACAAAGAGATTCAAATTCAGGCAAAAAAATAAACTATATCCATTTTACCCTTCCCTCCATAAGGAATGGGCAAAAGAGAAGACATTCAGATTAAGGAGACTGAGAATAATAGAAAGTCAATATCTTAATCCTTTTTCAATTTACATGGAAGTCAAAATTAGAATGTCTTTGGAGTTCTGCCGGAATTAAGCTAGAGGAAGAAAGGATCAGCTTCCACTATCAGGTTTATGTAAAACTCTAAACACTTTTGATGCTTGATCAGAATGAATCTGCCTCAATAATATTTCTAGACTGTATGACTTTGGATCGTACCATTGATTAACAGCAATGACTATACTTATGTAAATCTCTAAACAACATCTAAGATAGCTCTAAAGGTCATATGGATGAAACTTCAATTAGAACAAGTCTGTGACGAGTTCGTTGTCTAAGATCACTGCTTCAAATTGTATCATGCATCACTTTATTAGGTCATTTTGGGTCATATTAAACAGATATAATCATCTGCATCATTTCCCAGATGAACCCCGTACCAGTGAAGCCAAATGGAAGACTTCTATAAAGTCTTCATTTTCCTACTACTGAAGGACATCTCAGAAGAATAACCCCCACCAATGGTTATCCTCTCTGCTTTAAATGAAACGTTGCTATTTTGTGGAAAAGTTTATTGGGGTTTAATGGCATTAACCCCAGAGTCTTGCAATCTAATTTTATATAGTACAGTTTTGTTGCTGTTGTCCACATTCCTCGATCTCTTGATGGATCCTTTTCTAACCCTGAGAAATGTAAATTTTTACAGTAATAATTATTCAAATCAATTACTTTTATAACTGTTGTAACAGTGAACAAAGCCACTCCCACAAATAATAAAGGTACATTTGTGCCAAGAGCTGGTATACATAATGACAGTATTTTGTTCTTTGGGGAAACAAAGAACAGGTTTCTATTAAATAAATCATTTCCTGTCAGATTTCTATATTAAATAAATTCTCTAGAAACAGTTACATACTTTCAAGTGTGTCTGTTATTCAATAGATGACAGAATATTGCATAGACATGGTCTGACCTGGTCCCTTTTGAAAGCCAGCATACAGATTTTTGGGCAGAATGAAGCCACGTGCATCTAAGAAAATAGTGTCCAAACTGACAGCACTACAGTAACAGAAAAAGAAATCATTTTAAAACTGCCTTCCCAATTGTGCATCCTCAGAGAGCAATCATGACAGCAACAGGGATGCATAACTTTCTTTTATGCTCTTTTCACCTTTGTGATATTTAACCCAAGCAAGGACAGTGAGCAGTGGGACTTGCCGTCATTTTGTGAGGCGGCAACAGAGTTCCGAAATGGCTGAGAAGGGACTTACATCTAAAAGCCATTCAAACAGCTTGGATGCTGTTGTTAGTCCATGTTTTCTTCAGAAAGTGCTCTTAACTCATGATGTGTGCATTACCATATTTTAACATAGGAAAATAAAATTTGAACAATGTACAGACATCACATAGAAAAGGAGCCAGGCCTTTTCATATGCATATACTAGGCCTTTCTCATATATTTAAGGTATCCTTGTGGCTTTAAATAAATTGAAAATAAATTTATCTGTATATGTGTAAAGCCACACAGGTGCCATTTTTCTGGATGTCAGCTGTAGTTTCCCGAGATAGAAAAATGACACAAGGCTGGTCACGGGACCATGAGAAAGCCAAATCCCCTTCTGTCCCCAGCCCACCAGAAGCTTCCAAATGTGTTGGCTTTGGCTTTGGATTCACACTTTTGAAACCAGACCAACCAGGCAAACAAAACAATATAGAAAACAGAACCAGTCCCTCTCCAACACTGCAGACACCTGAAGAAACTGCAGTTCGTATGGTAAAAGACAGCTCAGCTGTGATGTCCTAGAAAAGGCAATGTATCTCTTCATTACACTGCGACACCAGAAAAAAAATCTATCCCTGTCCTCTTTGCTTTTCTTTTCTCTCCACTACTACTTATCTTACCACAATATTCACAAACATTAAGTTCACAAACTTACTTACTTCAGTGCCTTACAAATATACCAATATTTTTATTTCAAAACATTTTTATAAAGAAGACACATTATTTCTCTTTTTTTAATTTTGGAAATAACCTGACTAACAATTATAAAAGCATAGCCCTGCAAGAGCAGCAATGTTGGCCTAACATGTGAATACCTGGCATTCCCCTTAAGATTTCATTTTGTTTTTCTGAAGCTGTGAAGTCTCTAGTAAGCGTTGAATTTCAAAAGTTTTGAATTGTAAATCTGAATCACCGTTCAGAAAAAATTGTTGTCCGCAGCTTTACCAAACAGGTCATCCAGAATGATATCACAGTTGCATTTTGTACCTCAAAGACTTTTCTAAACATATTTTTTTTTACCAATTCTTTTGTTAGTTAAAAGTATGTGAGCATATGACCATATGCATGTGTGCGCACAAGATAGGAAGAAGGTATGATAACTTCTGTGTTATATGCTATAACAAACAGTGCATATTTGTACATATATATGTATTCTTTGTAACGACATCACCGATATTTATTTATTTTGAAGCTTTATATACTTAAAAACCTACACAGATGTGCTGAACACAACAGAGCTTGTGCTCTGCAGCAACTGGTGCTACCAGCCATTAACACTTCTGAGCTTCCTTTCACAGGAGAACTTTACATCCCACCCAAGCTGAACCCAAAGGTCTCCCCTGCCTATTACAATGGACTATGTGCTCTTCACAGACAAAGAATTCGATTCCAAACACAAATATGAGAATATTTTCTCTGCTATCCTTCTAAAAGCAGAGCAGTGACCACTGAAAGCAGACCATTTTTGTCTTTTTTGGGAACGCTACAGCACCACCCTCCCCACTGCTAGCAGAGACACCTTCCCCTTTGCAAAACCGCTTTTAGCAAACGGCAGAAGAAGAGCAGGGAAAAAGCAAACCTTTCAGAAGTGTCTCAGCCAAGCTGAGGGCTGCCAGGGTGAGGACGTGCACCAGCGGCACCTTCAGCAGGTCATTCATGTTTGATCCAGAAGGCATCCAGCTCCTTCAGGCAAGGCGTGCAGACTTCCCAGCCGGCTGCATTTCGGAAGCAGTGTTCAAGCAGAGCTTCTCAGCAAGTGACAGAGTGGGGTCTGAGGGATCTAAGTATAATCAGGAATTCTCCCACCCAGTGGTGGTGACGGACGTGGCCAGCTGGTGTGTATCCACTTTGGTCAGTGTGAAAGCGTGGGGCTCATGAAACAAGAGAAAGCAAATCCCTTCTGAATTCCTTTTAAGCAAACAGAGAACAGTACAATGGGCAATGCATTTCCAGGGCAGTACCCTAGCCCACTGTTGCAAAGTCATCAGATTTTTATTCCAGAACACTGTAAGTGCAATAGCAGGAAAAAATGCTCTCCACTGCCTTTTCCTTCATCTTAGTCACCCTCTTTTCCAATTTTTCTCCTCTCGCTCACACTCTCTCTTATTATAACCTTTCAAGATTGGCTGCAATATGCCACCTGTTGCCCTGCTGATAGTATTTCTTTTCTTAACAGATGCATTTGCTGGAGGAGAAGAGGTTGGCATTGGTGACTAAAAGTGCTTTTCTGTAGGGAAATATGACAGTGGGGTTTAATCTCCAGAAATATCTTGTTAACCACCAGGTCCCTGCCTAAGATGAAAGACAGACAAACACTCATTTTCTAGGAAGACTTAAAGAAACATCAGAATCAAGATCTTCTGACTCATTTTTTCTTGCCCCATCCTACCACAAAGGCCTACATTATATTTTCCAAAAATGTCAAGTCATTTGTACTGCCTGTTTTTCTAACACAAATATTTATATGAAGAGCAAAGAGGCTTACTGCTGTGGAAAGGCTGATGCAGGGGCAATATCTGCATGAGCAGGGAAAAAGATGAATAATTAGTCTGGGAAGAACCTAATTGATCATGATCCTCTTGGAATATGACTCCGCATACTTTTTGTCATTTTTTCAGCAGAGTGGACAAGAGCTTTGCACTAAACTACATGGTTTGAGGAAAGCAAATGTGCAGTCATAACACATCACAGTAAAAGGTACTTTGAGATCTCTGGAATTTCCTTTATTTACTGAAACTCTTGACTTAGACCACTTCTAAACAGTCATTTCTGCAATGAACGTACATGGCCCAGCAATGCTTCTTCTGAGGAGCAAATGGAGTAAAACTGACCAGTGCTGGAAATGTGTGAATCCATGTGGTTTGGCATGGCTTTATAATAGCAATGTTACTCTGTGGACTTGCCATCTTTGATTAAGAACAAGGATCTCTAGACAAGCATTCCTCTAAAGATGAATAAAGGCAGAAACACTCCCAGAGATGTTAAAGGTATTCCAAAAATTCTGGAGCTAGCAATGACAAAAAAGCAAAACAAGTAGACAGTGATGGAACAAGAATAATACTACCAAGGAACAGAGAAATACTGATTCATGGCTGAAGTTACAGGTACTTCTTTAGTTTAAGTCCAGACATATCCAATTAAAATGGTCCATAGAAATGCAACTTGGATTTTTAGGGTAAAATTCTGTTCATGAAGGGACTTGGCAAAAGACCTTTTCATTGCTGGATTCCTGTTTGGAATGTGTAATAAGGGCTTTGAAACTGCCATATGAGTGCAGAAACTAATATTTCCCTTTTATTTGCCAATTGCAGCATTTAGAAATGTCACTGCCAGCAATGGCTGTTAAATGCTAACAATGCCTTTGCCTTTTGGGGATTACCAAAGTACTCTTAATCTCTCATTTCCTCTACTTCATGTATTTTTACTAAGGATCATAATGAGCTCCACTACTCTAAACAGAAAGGATGAAAATTTACTCAGTACATGAGAGTAGAGAGAATACATGGGCAAAGGTACACAAGCTCCAGCTACACATGCTACTCAACAAACATACAATGTATATGGGAAGCTCATGGTTATCTGTGCCTATCATGGAAAGATGTTTCTATGATTTCACACTGAAATCAGTAAAAATCAAATGTTGGTGACACCAAACCTTCTTTGATTCCAAGTATTTTCCAAGCTTACCTTATAAAAGTAAAATACATCTTTAATTTTTACTTATGGGGTTATGATTTTGTTGCTTATTGGCTGTTGTGATTAGGGTTTTTCCTAACAAAGCAGACATGCATGCAGTTTACAGATAATTGTTTTTACATCTGTTGTTTCTTATAGTCATGCCCCAAATCATGCTTCTGCTGAGATGAGGTCCCAGCAGCTACTCAATAATGAGAAGAAATCCAATCCCCAGCTTTCAGACACTGTGGGAGAAGCTTTGATCCCATAGATTTCTGCTTATCTCTCTGCACTTCAAACACTCCAAAAATGTCAGTTCATGAAGTTCAGTACACAAGACAAGGTGTGTTCATTCACCTAGTTACCATTTTTTCCCACTTTAAACTGTTTGTGAAGTGACAAATACTGTATTTTGAAATAAATGTATAAATACAAAGAAAGTAGTAATTTGTTAGAGTTGGTAGAAGAGGTAATTAACTTGCAGTCAATGAATTGCTTGACATTGCACCGCTATGATAAGTGGAAATTCTTTGCTGGAGAGAACCATGGATCTTTTTTTTGTATGCCTCTGTACACTTCCCTCCTTCTCCCAAATATTCTGCTGGAGGGTGAGAGTTTGCATGCTAATGTGACATAATTTGACCACTCAATTATTTGAAAACTGCCACATCACTCTCTTGGATGTCTTCTCCCCAGGTAGTCCTAGACATTCATCCAAGTAGACAGGCTAGGACAGGTATTTCCAACAGAAACTGTCCAGACAAAGAACAAAATCATGCTATAGAGAGACTTAATGAAATTGCTTTGGCAGTATTCCTAATCACCCAAGCATCTGGTGATTCACAATGCAATAGTGCAAGTCAGCACTAACCCAGCCTGAGGAGTGATTGACTGGCCTGACCTCAGTTTGAGGTGAGGCTGACTGGCCTGTAGATCCCTTGATCCTCCTTCTTGCCCTTTAACTGGGTGATGTTTGCTTTCTTCCAGCTCTCAGGCACCTCTCCTGGCCACAACAACCTTTCAAATATTTGTGGTTGGTGTGAGGTGCAACACCACATCCTTTGTCATTGGCCTCTCCACCTCTTGTATGAGAAAGTGATCATCAATACTTTCAAAGAACATCTTGGATTGTTTGTGTATTGCTGAAGGTAAGCCAGAAAATGAGCATGCCCTAACCAGCCAAGATAGCAGATGTGTACAGCCACAGAAGACTAGTGGTTTTTAAAGCCCAAGGTGCCATGCCATAGCTCCAAGCCTCTTCCAGCCAGCAGAGAGATGAAAAGGATGTACTGTGTGGCCTTCCCTTCAGATGGATTGAATGCAGATGTCCCTGCATGCACTAACTTGATGCCTGATGCACACTTGCTGCTTCCTGCCTCAAAGCTGCTGGCCTCTTAGACAGTGGTATCCTCACAAAACATTTGGCAGTGAAACCCCTTTTGGGGATGCACATCTGCCTTTCTATGCAGAAATGAATCATGGTCACACTATCATAGAGTTATGGTCACACCACTCCTCCCATTCCTCCCTGCTCACTTTGCCTGCAGTGCCTACAGGCAGCACCAGCTCCTGGCTGTCTGACATGGAAGAAGCATCTTTGACAAGGCATGCCAGCATTAGGGGAGGAGATAAACATCATTTTCATTCTCTTACTACACAGTGCAAGTTGCTTCTTTACAGTAATCCTGAGTTGAAGCAGCTCATGTAGCCACCAGCTCCAAGGGATTCAACCCAGCCTCCCACGCACACGCAGACAGTAAGGTACTGTTGCTTGTGTCAGAGCAGCAAATGCTGTACTCAGTGTGATATGTAAAGGAGTGAGCTGTACTGCTGCTGTTCTTTACCCTGCACTTGACACTTCCTTGTTTAGTGTTTTTATTTTTTAAATGTCAAGATGAAATAATGGCTCTTCTCTAAAGTCCTTTAATAAACACAGACTCTTCCCAAAGCCCCACTTAGTGTTTAAATTTGAGGGTTTCAGACACACCTTGGCTTGACCTCTACCGTCAGCCATCTGGACCAATCTCTGGTCTCCTACTAATATTTCAACTCTTACTAAGCTCTGGTGTTTCAATCTGAAATAATCCTCTTTTATTCTCTTGAGATTTTGTGGCAGTGGGGAAAACTAAAATTTGCATTCATTTCTTGCTATCATCTTGCTATTAACTTCTCTATAATTTTTCAGCTCACAAGATCTGACAGTACTGACTAAGGACAATCTAAGATGCCATATTATGTTTTGTGGTGGGGCAAAATTATGCAGGGTTATGAGATGTAATTAGTGTGGTGGAATAATGTAAACAATGTAAAGAAAGAGAAATAAACCTTGCCATGCACCTAGCTAGCTGTGCATGTTATATATAACACAGAGGATGAGCTGAATGCCTTTATTTTGTAATATATAAAACTAATTCCTCTGCTGGGAGATCTGCCTCCTATTTCAGTTGCTATCAATGTTATCCAGCCCCACACCATAGCAGAGGGAAAGACCCCACCCTCGATAACCCTCTCCTCTCAGAGGATAATGCTGTCATGGTGCTGAGCTGGAGTGGGACAGAGATGCCGTGTTTCCCAAAGAGAGTTGCCAAAAAAATGTATGACCCTTGCTCCTCAGCTTCTGGTTTCAGTCTGTCAACCTGTGCTTGCCATTGGAAGAGTATAATCTGGGGACCAGGATGGCTGTTGACACACAAAACCTGCTCTCCATCACATGGTGTCACAGCCCAGCAAGTGGGAAACAAGACCTGCATTTAGATAACATTATAGCAGAGCTCTTACTGGCCGCTGCTCAGGGAACTGGGAAAGGAGGGACCCAGTGTGGATCTCCAGGCCACAACAGCCATATGAAGGAGAGCATCTACCTAAGTGATCCCTTTTTGCAGAAATAAGGATGTGTTTCACAACAGGAATACATTAGGGACTTAATATATCCCTTTGATTTTGATCCCAGAATACTGCACCTTGTAGCATATCACTCTCACCA